AAAACCGTGCGCCCAAAACGTAGATGGGACCTAGGCTTTACCAATTCAGACGGACTGCTACCTGCGTTCATTCGTTTATTTATTTTTTTTTGTCGGAAATCTCGTCAAGACAATTGCTTAAAACAAAACTGCAATGTCCTCTCTGTTGTTAATGACTCACACAACGCCGTGACATATTCAAGAAAGCAGAACCACAATCCCCTGGGGCCATAAATTATGGCCATGCTACGGTATTTCTTTTAATCTTAAAAGCAATGAATATAAACAAAAATAAAATGTGCAATATCTATTTGTGTTCACGAGTATTTGTAAAATATCAAACTAACATTACGCAATGATAAATACAACAAACAGAATTAGTGATGCATAACTTCTGAATCATGATCAACGGCATTTAAGCAAAATGTCATACCAAACTACTATATAACTACATACACCACCGCCAACATTACAATCAATTGAATATAAAAAGTTCGTCAACCATACCCAAAAGCGTGGACATGGACAGAGAATTTGCCGCGCACCAAACTGACCTTGCTTTTTGTTCTACACAAGGAAAATGGGCTCTTCCACAAGAAAGAGAAAGCATTAAACATTCTCCACTACAAACGAGACATCCGATTTTCGAGTACTTTGAGATTCCACTGACCTCATTTGTAGCGTGTCTAAATCGATGGACGTCTCGCTGTTAAGTTTTTTGGTATTATTAAAGCACAACATGAGCATATATGCTTGTTTGACTTCCGGAATACGCAGGCCATATATGATAGGGTCCACAAGCGGATTCAGCATATACAAGTTAATGGCAACGACATTAACAACACTGAAATTCTCAGGGATGGGCGAAGGGATCAAATCAAACAAGAAATAAATCATAAAAGCCACGACGCCGGTGCTCCAGAGGGCAAAGACGGTAGCCCACAACATCGCTATAGTTAGGCTAAGTTTGAACGCTGCTTTCGCCATATCCTTCGATGATGGGGCCTGTGACATGTGTTTCCGAGCTTTGCAGAGAAGTAAGGCTAACATGACCGTGTTGCCAACGAATGCTATGGCTGTTGTTATACTGACAGTTCCACTGACGGCTAAATACACTGGCTGAGACATCAGAGTAGCTAAGCAGCCATCTTGGGGTTCCTTTATATACTTGAAGGTGATTCCCACGGAGAAGGAGACCGCAGGGATGAGATAGGACAAGATCACGAAAAACGCCAATGGCTTCTTGTTGAACTTCTTGGTAAAATCCAAGGGATACCATACGGTGGTGAGTTGGTGGTAGACGAGCGAGGTAGTGGCCATCAGAGGCAATAGAGTGAAATAACTCATCAGACAAACGGTAAACCTCTCAAAGCAAGCTAAGTTTATTAAACCAACTGGGATGTTTTCGCCATGGGCGGGCGTGTCTTCACCAAATGTCGTACTTGTAGCGTTCTCGGTTAGGTTGGTCGTCTCATCAGTGGTAGACGCACCATCGACTGACTCACTAGCTTTCTGGGAAGGTGGAATTTTCGCCTGAATGTAGATATTGACGCATATTGCTACTGCCATGGTCACGGCGAGCATTAGGTCCGACACTGCCAAATTCACCAAATTCACTTGAAATGTGGTAAGTGGCCTTCGTAATCGCCCCAAGGTTGTCAAGGAAACAATGTTCATCAGTACGGCGATTAATGATAACGTAAGAAGGATCTCCCGAGACGGCGGTAAAAGCGCTTGTTCCAACTGAGAGATGTAGATCTCAAAATCAGACGCATTCAACATCATGAGTTTGGCCAGTGTCAGCCACGGAGGTATATCGCACCAAACACGCACGTTGTAATATTCAGCTAATATCCAAAATTTGACCAATACAGAATTTGGATAGCAGCAGCTCAAGTGGTCCTATGTTATTAAGAATAAAAAGTAAAGCATCCTTATGCCGAAGGCTGTCAATTCCTTCGTCACCGACAACAAAGTCATATCAAGACTGAAGATAATAACCAATAAGCCTCGTGTCCATTCGGGTTGCGTACCCTTTCCTCCCGTCAGATTGAAATAACCTTCGTTTATCCTTCATTAGGAGCATTTTGTGCTAGATGTAGAAAAACCTACGTCATTAAAAGATTGTTTTGAATCTTTCCCTTTGTTATTCCAGTAATAGTTGCAAACATTTTTTTCTCTCATCACCAATCTCACCAATGACGGCAAAGCCTTGTGCATTTTTGTCACAATCGCCTGTTTTGATGCCTCAAAACGTGCACTGATTTTTTTCTCTTACTTTCATATGCCATACTTTCTCATAAGCAAAATTGTATTCCTTCTATTGAAAGGAATACTTACCGACTATATGCAAGAGAAGGCTTCAAAACTTAGGCACGTAGCGTTTGGGGTTTCATGATCAAAGATAACAGGTTATGACGGGAAATTTGTCGGAGTTCTCCTGAAGAATTAATCAATCAGTCTGTTGTGATGGGTTGACTAGGGGTGATGCGACAACAGACTTCAATTGGCTTCGTTGTTGAAAGGAAGGTGCCTTTTCCGGACATATAACCTCATTTAAAATATTGTTATTCACTGGCTTAAGTGTAGTAAGAACTTCAACAGATAGGTTAAATGGTGGCATTTTAATAGAACACAGGGCTGACTTTGATATCGATTCCTTACCAAAGACAACGTAATTCACTTGTTTTGATATTTTCATTCACATATGGATTCCTTTCTCCTCTGACGACCTTCTTAAGACGGTGTCTAGAAATGTCAATAAACGAGCGTATTTCATTAGTCGCTGTAACAGGTACACATCTAGATAAACAGCAATATCATTAGGAAAAGTCATGTGTGACTTAAATGTTAAAACCCACGTGCAATCATGTTTTAGTTCCAGATATTGCACATTATAGGTTGACATTTATATTACAGTGTTATTATGGAGGGGGCGGACTTTATTGTGGGATAAGTGACTAAGAGCAATGCACGACGATTATCAGGGACAGCATCTTATTAAATTTATGGTACACAAAAAATACCATTAGTCTGACAAAAAAGAAAAAAAAAACAAATAGCTGCAAATGGCCACAGCAATGGACGATTAGGACAATACACCCCCCCCCCCCCCACACACACACACACACACAACATGGGGGCAGACAGAGGTAATCACAATATAAACCTTTATCATCTTTTGCGGAAATACGACGTGCGCATCAACAACAGGAAAGAAACCAGACTTAGTTGAACGGTGAGTCAAGCAATGTAATTGTTTTATTTCTCAGTTTAAACATGGTGCGCTGTTAGTCCACCTCTTCTAGTAAGCCTCCGAGCCTTGACCGTACTTCTTTCACAGTTTTTAAAAATACTTTTCGTAATGAAAATATGTGAGAGAGGCACATTATATTTGTTATAAGATCATAATAATGAGCTAACACCACAGCTTTATCTGCCATAGATCGCTATTTTATGTCATTAGTGTGGACAGGTACATGACTTTATGTGTCACATAGGCCCTACTTTATGTATCATATCATGTTGCAATGCTCTATGTCTTCGTCTGTCTTGGCGAAGAATATCTTAATTTAGCAGTTTTTGAGAAAAAAATGCAATGCAAAGATTGCCTGTTGCTGACTATGCACACTGCTCTTTGGTCAACTGATTAAATCCCTGATAAGGCACCAGGTGTGATCTGTTCAGTTAAGATGCGCCACATCTATGGTCTTTCGACTGTAATTAACGCCTTCCAGTGGTCTGAGTTAAATGGGTGTGACCTGTAACATTGACTGCTTCTTAGATAATTATATTGTTTACCATATTTGAAATTGTTACACTAGTGAATGTGTATATCTATTTCGTGAGTTTTTGGTTCAATTAGCAAACTGTTATCAAGTAAAATGGTTCTTAGTTGTTTAGAATGTGTTTGGTGCCTAAGACATTGTGTTTGAAGAAAAATGATTTTTTTATTATTGTCATTGTCAACAAATTTTCTTTGTTTTTTTTTATGTGTGTGTGTGTGTGTGTGTGTGTGTGTGTGTTCAGGACTGATTGAATTAAACAAAGTACGGAAGATTCTGCAGTATGATGCACCAGTGTCTTGTCCTGCCATGAGGCATGGAATTGAACATGAAGAAGTTGCCATTAATTGCTACAGGTACACACATATTTTGGAGAGATAATTTAGTCATTACAAGCACTGACTCGTGTTATAATAATAATAATAATAATAATAATAATAATAATAATAACAATTTTAGCGTGCACACTTAGCTATGTTTTGCATTTTGCAGTAATCAGTTTTAACTTCACCTTGTTCACAAATATTGCTACACATATTATGTCCAATGTAGAGGGGGGAATTTAAGATTGCATACATGCCCATGGAAAGACAATTTGAACATAATCTGATCAAGTTGTACGCTGTGTAATATTTGCACTGTTACCATATGAAGGATATATTTTAACTGCAAGTTTTCAAAACTTTATGTAGGATGTTGAAAGAGGTCACAGGGTCTCCAGTCAGTCTGGACAAGGCAGGGTTGGTGATTCACCCACACCACCATTTTCTGGGTGCCTCTGAAGATGGGATGGTGACTGACAACAGCTTCAAACCCCCCCCCCCCCCAAGATTAGACCCTTCAGGGGCTAGTGGCTGCTGAGGTATTTGTCCAGAGAGTGCACTTCAATAGTGTCTTGTGGCAGACTACAATTTTACCCAAGATGTCAAATTTCTACAGGAATGCTTTTGTTCCAGAGATTTTGAATCAACGCGTGTTTAGAGGCAAGAGATTGTACACACAATCAAATCATCATAAGTACAGGTCAAAGTGTTAGACATTGAGAAATTATGAGCTCAAGTGTTACAACTTTGGTTTATTTGTCTTCTTTAATGGAAACTTTTTTTTATTTATTTTTTCTTTATTCTGTTTAACATGTGATAATATTCTCTGTATTGAAAGCATTCAATTTATAATGGCAATTTTTGGCACTGAGCATTTTGGTACTGAGCATATTGAGTAAATGTATAACTGTGATGATATTTGAGAGATTTTATTATTCAACACATTGTATTACTTATTATATACAGGTACATATTTGGACGAGATATATTCTCCATTTTAGCATTCAACACATTGTATTACTTACTACGTACATACATGTACATGGTCGGATGAGATTTATCCATTTGGTGTTTTTACCATATTTATGTCACATAATGTGTAGTTTACAGAATATGTGATGTACCTTTTATTGTAGCTTGGTGCTGTATCAGTAAAATCAAGTCTCCCTAGACATTGTGATGGTGCTTCTTAAGTTTACATTCCAAAAAATATTTCCTTACAAAAAAGTTTTGTTACTGTGATGAAAGGCATCTGTGATGGAACATTTTTACTTTCCAAATAAATTTTAAAAGATATTAACATTCTTGTTTCTCGAGTTTCAGACATCCTAGTTAATCAGAACAGTCTGGACTGTTTTCAGTCTGCACATGATAATTTTACCAGTCATTCAGACAATAATGGTTCTGTGCATAGGTTCACTAAATAACAACATATGACCCATATCTTGTTCAAATCACTAGCCATTGAGTTTGGAAATACATAATTCAATAAACGATAGTTTTTAATTTTCCCGATAACACGTTCCACATGAATTCTGAGCCTGGCAATTCTTCTTGTTTCTTCCTCTTCGGCTGGACTAAGTTGTCCCTGAGAACCAATAAATGGAGGGATATTCAATTTTACCTTCCTCTTCGCGAGATATTCATCAATTAGGAATCCTTGGTCGGCCATGACAGAATCCCCCTCATCCATCAGATCCACAAGTCCACTAAGTTCTGTCATTTCTTTGTCTGACATGTGCCAAGGAGCCAAATCTGACACATAACTGATAAATCCATTTGGTGCTATTCCCACAAGTCCTTTGACAGTATTGTGACTTTTGTAGGTAGAATACGTCTCTGACTGTGCAATATATCCTGACGGGCTTTCAATAAAAAGTTCTGTGCAGTCCAAAATGACCCTGGTAGATGGATACTCTTCTTTGAAGCACTGTGGCATAGTGGCTTCTACAATTTCCTTAGATGGCCAGATGGGCAACTGCCGGAAGCGAAAATGCATCAGCTCAAAATATGTCCTGCAAATCCTTGAAACTGTAGCTACACCTACTCCCATCCTAGCAACACATGAAAATATAAACCAATCAATGAAACAAATGCTAGGTCAGTTTCTTTTAAATCAATCATTTTCTTAAAAAGGTGAACATAAATTAAAGGTGTAAATGAAGTCCAACATGCACTTGAATATAATATAAAGAACACATATAAGTACTGTGAGTCTACTGTAGGCAGTACATAAATATTAACTAATACCTGAAAGCGAGGTCTTCTTCTAGTAATCCAACTCTCAGCCTGGTCAAGACAAGAAGTAGTTCATCTTCTGAATCTAAAGAACAGGTGTATTTTCCTCTTGGTGTGTCTTTGTCATGGTAATTTGAATCCCAGCAGTACATATCAGATATATCTGGAGACAGAAAGTCATGAAAGTTCTTGAATTCTGCATAGGAAGAAAACCCTGTGTAAAACTTAATAGCTTCTGGTTTCTCTTTCAAAGACTCCATGCTGAAAGTGTTTTCTTTCTTTTTCTCTTCTTCAAGTTTTTTCTGGAGATCTTTATAACGTTCTTCCCACACATCATTTTCCTCTGCCTTCTTCTTTGTCTGTTCTAAGTCGGTCTGACATTGCTTAAGATGCTGTGTTGTCTCTGAAAGTTCTTTTTGTATATCACATAATTTGTCCTCCATTTCAAGAATAATCCCACTTTTTTCTTTCACTGATTTCAGAAGGTCCTCCATGTCTGAATGTGGGCTGCTGTAGGAATGGTCGTCGTGATGTCCGACGTCTGTTTTTGCATTTTCCGACATTACAGACTCAGTGACATGTAGCGTTTGTTTAATCAAAGTTCTCCTAGACTGAGTGACCTTTTCTGTTTTGTACCTAAATACCGTCGGTCTTCTGATAGTGTACGTTTTCTTCCCTCCTTCGAAGTGTTCAGAGCAAACGCGGTGCCCTATTGTTGGCTCAAACCTACTGAACTTCCCTTTCTTCCCAGCTCTACCAATGTTATCGACCCATATTTTCCGTTCCTCCGTGTCCGCTGGGAGCCTGTAAAATCTCAAATGTCTATCTCTCTTATTGTTGTTGTAACAGTAAGGCACACAGCAAGTAAATCCAGGCATGATTTAAGCATCTGATGCAAGTATACGTAATGGCGACCAGAGGACTCACTTTCCCACAATGCAATTTCCATTTCCGGAAAAGATGAAAAAGTAGAGGGGTCTCAAGTACGGCATAAATCCGATCGACGGAATTATGACAGAAAGCATTAGTTCATTTCACTTGTACAAGGTAATAATAATAATAATAATAATAATAATAATAATACATTTATTTCGAGTCTAAACTTAATCCATTATAAGAGTATTTTCAGAGTATTTAAGATAAAACAAACGGATTCTCACATAAAAGCATTTACACTTCATAACTAAAATATGTTTGTTAAGAAATATTATAATAATGAATTCTAGGCAATTAAAAGCAGCCTTATTTGCACACATTATAAGTAGAACAGCCTTATTTCTTACAGTGCACAAATGCAATTACTTTAAAATTAGTGAAATCAATTTAAAAGTTGATTAGTCAAAAAATCCCCTGAATAGGTATGTCTTCAATTCTTTTTTAAAATGCTTGGTAGACTCAATTGATCGGATTTCCAGTGGTAATAAATTCCATTCCTTTGGAGCTGCTGATTTAAAAGAAGTATTTAGGTTCATATTTACTGGGGGTCCGCCATATACTAGTAGATAAACGTCCCAATAAAATAAGGGGCTTATTCGTCCCGATAGATACAAATGTACGTCTCTATACATACACGTCTCGTTAAATTTACGTTCCGATAGATCCACCAACAGATTCCTATAAACACACGTATCTTTAGATCCAGGTACCGCTAGATCCATCTATCTGACATCGTAATCGGCTATAAAAGGCCCATATCAACTTGTGGTACAGGTATGAGGCTTTCGAGTGATAGTCTGGCTGCGAATACTGACCCACTTAGTGATCTGACTTAATTACAATCTGATATTTATTATTTATTCATTTATTAATGTATTTAGGCCATATATTTATTAGGTGTTCAAACAAGACATACATGTACGTTAGCGTCTACACGTCTATCGTCTACTGAGTAGTACACCAACCATTTTGAGCAATAGTGTACCTGTAATGGATCTATCGGTATTTGGATCTGAAAATACGTGGATCTGTATGTATACGGATTTAAGGGACGTGGGTTTATGAGGACGTCGTTTCTATAGGAACGCAAATACCCGGTATATATAGGACAGCAGTAAAAAAATCGGATCTATCGGTATTTAAATCTAAAAAGACGTTTTTTTCCGTTTTTCCTTTATGTACCGGGTATCTATCGGTAACGGGAGTATAGGGACGTGTAATATTTTGGGACTAAATTTTATCCGTACGTACCCCTTTTAAGTATCACTTTGTCTACAGACCGCAGGTTTCTTGCTGGAACATAGTGACTGACTATTTCACTTAAAGGTGACCGATGCAACTTTGTAAAAAACATCATGAACAAAGACTAAAAAATTTAATAAAATCCTGGCTTGCAGTCAGGCAGCCAATGTAACTCTTTTAAAACTGGGATAATATAGTTAGGCCTCTCATGGATGTATGGGTTATATAATCTAGCCGAGATGTTCTGAATACGCTGCAGTCTTTAAATGTGTTTTTTGGACAAACATATAATTTTATTAAAACAGAATTACAATAATCCAATCTAGATGTTACTAAACAATTTATAACTGTAGCTGCAGCAGAGTCAGAGAGATGATTACACATTGCGCCTATGTTCCTAATGTTATATACTGCTGACTTGCTATGCTAGCAATTTGCTTATTCATAGAAAGTGTTCTATCTAAAAAAAAAAAAAAAAAAAAAAAAAAAAAAAAAAAAAAAAAACCAAGATTCTTAGCATGGGGCATTGACTTTATGATACTGGATCCAATTTTGAGTTCAATTTTTTTTCTGATATTTTCAGATTATGTGGCTGGGTTACAACTACAAGTTAAAATATTTCCATCATTGATTTTCAACTAATTTCTTAATTATCAACCACCCTCATAGATCATCAATACACCTAGACAGCTTTTCAATTGATTCATTAGGATTTTCTACATTACAACATGTAAAAAATTTGTGTATCATCAGCATAGATGCAATAGCCAATACTGTGATGTCTCGATATGACCACAATGGGTAATGTATATATACAAAAAGCTAGAAGTCCAAGAACACTACCTTGAGGTACACCAAAAGCTAACACTGACACATTTGACAATATCCAATTAATTAAAACCTGTTGTGAGCAACCTGTAGGATAAGAGCGTAAAAGACTAAGTGCAGAGTCCCCGATACCAACTACTTTGAGAAAAGATAAAAGTAGTTCATCATGTACTGTGTCAAAAGCTGCAGATAGGTCAAATAAGACTAAAAGAATCATTGAGTGTTCATGGACTCCACACAGCAGATCACTTTCATAGGCATACATAAGATTTCATATTGAACAATTTTTTCTGTCTGAACAATAAAGTGGCAAGAACACCAATATCAGTAAGTATACATGTTTATTTAAGGATATTTAGCTGGAAAAAATATAACTTGTATAAAGCTCCATCATAATATTATAATTCATATTCTTAAATCTAATCTTAAACTATAATATTTGGATGTACTAATGCCTACAAGTATTCTCAATGGGATCTTGTTCTTGACAAGATATTTTCCACTATTTATCCATCAAAATTAATTCAAAATTTCATATATAAATTGTATAAAACAGCATGTGTGTTAAGCCAACTTCCCTGTCCCAAGGCACTTGATATAATCAATACACATTTAATTGTACTTCTATGACCTACTATCAACTAATCTTAAAGAGATAATAACTCTTAATTTTGGCCAAAAAATGAATTTTCCTGGAGTAAACAACAATTTTCCCATACTTACCAATGGTTTATGAATCCATTTTTACATTCAAAGTTAGTCCCTGTTTTTTTTTTTTTTTTTTCTTAAAAGTTTGTTTTTTTCACTCAATGCCATCTATGGAGGTCACGTGGTCTAAAGATAAGCTCACATATCAGAATAATAGCTATAACTGCCGTTTTTGTGGTAAAACAGAATATATTATTTTTCTATGAGTTGTTCACAATGTTTTATTGTGAAATATAGATCACATGCGAAGAGTTATTATCCCTTTAAAGTAAAGAACACCAGCATTTTGTCTTTAAACTTAAGGCCAATTCTCAGGTCAAAGTGTTTTAAGTGAGACAGGTGTAACATAAATGGTAGTCCTAGAAATTGACATCCATGGTCCCCATAAGATTAGTACAAGTTAGAGTAAGCTGGAAGCATCGGGGTCAGCATATGAATCAAAATGTCCCTGTGCAAAGTAATGGGAAGCAGATTTCGGTTCCCAGAGAACTGCCATTACAGTCACATGGGTTATTACATAGTGAATAAATGACAATACCACCGTTTAATGTAAATGCAATCTTCTTTACACATTTTTATCACACAAAACAATAACAGCAGTTCCAGCACAAAATAACTGTTGTCTCAAAATACCACATACAGTAGCTATGCATACCTGATGCAATTTTTTAAAATTAAAATCAAAGAATGAGTTATGTGATAAGAGTTAAAAGCGATGTACTAAAATGACAGAGTGCAAGTGGAATAGAACGTGAGGTACTCCCCTCCCCCCCAGAAAAAAAATTAATAAGCCAAAAGAGACAAAATGAATATATTATTTATGTCAACCATATTACAATAAAATTATCCTTAGCATCTTGTCGATTTATGTGTACAGAGTAAGGCAAGACAAGATTTACCCCAACCCCAGCAATTAGAATCCTGGATCTGCCAGAGTGTAAGCATTAATGAGTACTGAATCTGCTAGCTGTCCTCCAAGTGCAGTTAACCTTCACATCGTCATGCAAGTACAACCTAGGCAGTGGTGTTTGGTTGTGGCGAGGAGCTCTTCAAGATCTAAAACAAATTATGCTCAAAGTCACACGTGTACAAGGAGTATTAGAACATATTATGCAAAATAAGATATACTGGAAAAACCAATACTTTCACCTTAAACCAATGTAGGGCATAACCAATAATGCTGACAAAATTACTTTCTATAAATTGGTATTATGAGTATCTAATTTTGAATCCTTATGGTAAAGGAGATAAATATTGGTGAATTTCACTCATGACTCCAGAAAAAATAGACATAAAGAACTCAAAAATAAAAAAAATTTAGGTGCAAATGTCTGTACTGAGAGTATTATTTATCTATTTGATCACAGGGCTTGGTCCAACTTTCAATCAGTATAGTACTTATTTATTTATCTTAATATATCAGTCACCATATCATGGGAATAGAATTGTTCAAAGTGTGACATACAGATAATATAAAGCATTCAGCATTAAGACCCCATTCCCACAGATTTTAGATCGATCTATCCCTGTGGGGAGTCTTACTTGATTACTGTCAGCTTAGCTGGCTTAAATGTCTGTCCCACCTACTAAAAGCTGTAAGGGGGTAATTAACTATAGTGCGCGCTCGGCTGACAGCTATTAAGCGTGAACCCCCAGTGAGTTTGGTCGATCTAGTTGGATCGATCTAAATCTCTGGGAATGCACTCTTAGACTGGTACTGGTAATCTGTTTTTAATTAGTCTATGTCTGAGCAAGTTTCATACCCATACTTACTTGATTAAATCAGCTAAGTGACTGGCCCTGTTTTCTATCAAAACCTGACAAAAGTGATAAAACGCTCTCTGCTCTTTTCTCTTCAGGACATCCAGAAAGGCCCCAACTCTGTCATAGATGACAGCAACACCTTCAATGGCACTGATTTCATCTTCAGTATAGATGTCCCTGGCTTTGAACCTCCTGAGAGCATTTTTCAGACATGGAGCTGTTATGCCCTTCACAAGATCCGGTCTGTTCTTCTTCAGGGCTTCTATGTTCATCTTGCTCATGGGGTTGTGATCTGAGAAAATTGGGAATGAAATGATGAACAAAACAAGTCTTCAAATAAAATTCTCTGAAATACTAATTAGCAGCTTATTTGGATATTCAATAGCACATGCTATCCACAGAAATGGGGAGAAAATTCATGGATTTCAATTTGAAAGTGTACTACTATACTTAATGTCAATATTTAGAGCGCATTCCGGACAAGTTGATCTGTGCACTTACAGATCAGCAGATCAATTTTGACCGCCCTTCTTAAAAGCAATGCTGACTTATGTCCTCATGGTCTCCCTGCCTCCACTTGTGCCGTCCCTGCAGGGTCATAACAATTACACCTTGGAACCGAGATTTCATCTGTTTAATGGCTCATGTGTGTGACCATCATGGGATTAAGCGACTCACTTTTTATCGAGGTCAGCCATTTTTAGTCTGCAGATCAGTTCGACTGCAATCATCTGTTCTGTGTGTGCTCTTAGATGAACTATTTTGCATAACTGGTTGCCTAACTTGTTACTAATGCACTCACCCTCAGCTGTTGAATACATCAGCTTATACTGTGCTAGTTGTGACAAGAAGTCTGACTTTATAATGAACTAACCCTCAGCTGTTGGATACACCAGCTTAGATTGTGCTACATGTGACAAGAAAAATCTCACCTAACACAATACACTTACCCTCAGCTGTGGGATATACCGGTTTTATATGAAAATTCTCACCTAACACAATACACTTACCCTCAGCTGTGGGATATACCGGGTTTATATGAAAAATCTCACCTAACACATTACACTTACCCTCAGCTTTGGGATATGCCGGTATTATATGAAAAATCTCACCTAACACATTACACTCACCCTCAGCTGTGGGATATGCCAGTTTTATATGAAAAATCTCACCTAACACAATACACTTACCCTCAGCTGTGGGATATACCAGTTTTATATGAAAAATCTCACCTAACACAATACACTTACCCTCAGCTGTGGGATATACCAGGTTGGCAGGTATCAGGCCATCCCCTCCCTTGTTATGACAGGGTACCAGGTTTCTCTCCACAGGGGGCGGACTGTTCAAGATCTCCCCAGGGAACAGCTTTGGCTCCTCCACAGCAGATTTGACACAGTGAGGACACTTGAGGTACTTATCAAATGGCAAACCTGGCCAATCTTCTTCAATGATACCTGTGGAGAGTGACACATGATGAGACAGATATAATAATTACAAGTATTTAATGTTGTAATAAATAAACTGTGAGTTGCAAAGCTTAACAAGAAATAGAGGAGGTAATTTCCAAGATGAAGCCCAGACGTGAATCTTCTCTATTTCACATCAAACTTCACAGAGAATGATTTATCTTAATTCAACTGCATTTCAAGCAAAAGAAAAAAAAAAAAAAAAAAATAGGCAGTCTTGAGCCTTGTCCTACATTCATGTGTATTCACCTATATGGAACAGAGCACAACACACCTGACTGTATTCTGATAGTAACACACTCTGTACAGCATATTAATATCACTACTTTTACTGCTCACCCATAAATAGCTGTTTGCAACAACGTGCAGGAATTTGAAAAAAAAATATTGGGATAATGCCAATCTTTACCCATCAAGTCATCATGGGCACGTCGCACTTCAATCCACAAGTCTGGCAAGTGGCGACCTCTACAGGCTACAGTAATCACTCTGTCCTTCTGACGTAATTCCTTATTCAGCAGCATGGTGACAGACGGGAGTTTGGCAAACACCCCATCTTTCCAATCTACACGTTCAGACCTGAAGAGACCCAGGTACCTGAAAAATGAATGAAATTGTAAATGGTAATAAACCTCCAAGCAGATACACGTTATACGCTCGAGTCTCATCCCTCCCATCACAGTCAAATAGAGGTTCAGTCAAACTCAACATATCGTAGTCACAGTTAAAATTTTAAAGGTATTTATGCCAGTGTCTTAAAATACAGGAATATTTTTTTATAATTTTCATTTACCTTTTCTCATAATTCAAATTCACTATGTAATTTTCTAAAATAAGAACATTTTGTAAAACAAAGCTGAACCATGCGTGCGAGAGAAAAATTTAGGAATGAAAACACAGTAGCTCTCATACCTATGTAGCCTCACGGTGAACCTCTCGTATAAGCCATCAGGACACTTCCTTGGAAAATACAACTCCAAAGTCAGCTGGTTCTCAAACTCTGCAACCCTCGGGGACCAATATTCTTGCAGGTCTGCCGGGCAGTTCTCAGTAAGCAGCCATGGAAAGTGATAAGCCACGTCATCCAAATTCATCTCACCAAACTTGCTGTCTTTTGATGTTGATTCCTCTGGACGTTGGTTCTCATCTTGACTGCTGCTGTGTCCAATTCTTACTTTTCTTGTCGCATCACCAGCAGATCCAGGATCTTCTCTGCCTCCCTCTGCTCCTTCACCCTTTGCTGTGACATCAACTGCCTTTCCCCCCTCTGCTATTCCATCTTTCACCCTGACCTCATAGCACAGATCCAATGTCTGCAAAAGTCCTATCATGGCGTCCATCTCCGTTTTCCCTAATGCGAATGGCTTCCACAAAATCTCCATGAGATTTCTCGAAATAATTCCTCTCTTCAAAAGGTCTTCCTTCATTTCTTGGAACTTTGGGCCAGTGAGGGGCACAACCTTGGAAGCAGACTCAAAAGTCAGTGAGCTCTTCATATCATGGTCAAGGACAACCTTGAGCAAGTTGGCGATAACTTCCACCTTGTGAAAGATGATGTCGGACAGTGAAGTGTTTTTCTCGTACCACACTATGTCACCTGACCCACTGAGATGACGTAGAATGTCAATGGTATCCTTGAATGCAGATTCCTTTTTAGCCCTGAAATTTATATATAACAGAGGTCAGTTTCACAAGGGAAGATAATGTATAGCTGCCTTTTACCCATAAACAGTAGGTATTTTAATGAGGTAAATGGATTTTAATTATTCTACTGTATTTTATTTTATCGACAGATCATATCAGCTTTCATTTTATATTTTATGTATAAATATGACAATAAATAAACCATTGTTATGATTTCTTTTTTCAATTCAAACATATCTACTATAAACGCATATGCAATGTTACAAGGGGAAGCTGAATGTGAAAATAAAATGCAAATGTAATTACCTACTAGGTAATAACTTAAAAATGAAAGATCTGGCAACTTGTGATTTGTACAACTCTAGCACTTGATCCATAGTAAGAAAGTCTCTATCTACTTTCTCAATAGATCTAGCAACTTTCCACCATATTGAAGGGAGTGATGCACCATTTTCTTTGGCAATCGAAATCAGTGTTGTCTCAAGTTCCTGAAATCCATCCAAAGTCTTTGAACTTACTGGGAATACCACATCATGGATGCTTATCTGCTCTGCCTGCATCTGCAGCAGTTTCTGCCTTTTGGTCATCAAGGCAGACTTGTTGGGTGCCTCCACTGCTTTGGCCACCAAATTATCTATACGGTCAATCTGATGCTGAAGCCAAGTGTTGTGAGATGCCAGTTGCTCCTTGGCCGTTGTGGCTATTTCAGAACACAAAGATGTTTTCGTTTCATCATCGCATTGATCAGCATGTGTGCCCACCAACAAGGTTAGCGTGTGTGGGGCATGTGAGCCAAGCCTCTCGATCCAAGAGCCAATATGCATAGTGTAATTCTCAGGCGTGGTCAGATCACACGTTGATAGATCGAAGACTACAAGGGACACAGCTGTAGGTGATATGAAGAAAGGATGGACAACAGTATACACATTGTGGCCACCAAAGTCATTGATGTTGAAAACCACCTCCTCTGGCAAGGTCCAGATCAACTGGTCAATCACTTTTGTGCGGTCAGCTTCAGCGGTCAAACATGACGTCTGCTGGGTCAGAGACTGAGCCAGACTGGACTTCCCTGCACATGTACAGCCAAGCAGGTTCAGTTGTAGTTTAGTGGCTGTGGTGAGGACTAGATCTTTGGACCCTCTCAGGTAACTCAAGATTGCAGAGGTCCCTGCCACACAAACTGATTGTGGTGGGAAAGTAATGGGGTTCCCACATACACCCAGATAATGCAGTTTCTTGAGGTTCCTCAAAGCTTTTGGTAATATACTTAAGCGGTTATTGTGAAGCTTGAAGGAAACCAGGTTTTTTAATTGGCTTATGGTAAGTGGAATGGTAGTTATTCTGTTCCATGCAAGGTCAAGTTCTTGTAGTGCTGTAAGATTGCACACAGGGGAGGGGAAGTCAAGAAAGTTGTTCCCTGACAACTTCAACACCCTTATGTTTGCCATTGATGAAAATTCTGGGGGAAGTTTTAAGAGTAAGTTATCATTAAGGTTCAGCTCCTCAATGGCTTCCAGAGAACACAGCAGTGGGGGGAACTTGTCTATCTTGTTATTGGCAACATTGAATATCTTTAACTTTGTCAATTTACCAATATCCAAGTGAAGACCTTCTAATACATTGTTGCTCAAGATCAGTTTCTCCAATAATGGCAGGTGGCATATTGAAACAGGAAAGGAACTAAATCTGTTCTTGTTCAGGTTCAAAACTCGCAACTTTGTGAGCTGATCGATTTCATCAGCAATTGTCGAGAAACTGTTCCAACTCAAGTCCAACTCTTCCAAGTTTTGAAGACTGAAGAAAGAGGTTGGCAGGCTGTCTAACCCCATTCGAAAATCAATTGAATTCACTGTCACTACATGCCAAGCAGCTGTTAGGCGTTTCAGTTGAGTACACAGTCCAATGCTCTTTGGAATAACCGTCATGGGATCCTCAATGGTGTCATCATGAGTTTTATATAAAAACATATCAGAGAGGCACAGTGGTGGGGACCAGTACAATTCCTCCCACTGTGAAACTTCCTCAGGAGGGGCCTTGCCGGATTTATCAATCCCTTCCAGAATATGAAGCCTTCTTTCCATGGCCATTATTTTAGATTGGATCCTTACTGACTGTGCTAAATTTCCAGTTTTAAATGCCGGCTGAAACAGACAATGGATAAAAAATGAACAGCAGTTTAATCAACATGCATATGTGCATGCACACATAGCCCCTGGTACAGTAATAGTACATGTACAGGTATGTGTTACACTTTTCCAATGTGACAAAAGATTAAGTTAACAAAGTGTGTACAACGCCCATAATACTATTATCATTGATAGTTACCACTATACTGCGCCTGAAATGGTCTTAAACTGAAATTTAGGATCACAAATGATCTCACATGGTCTTAATCAAAGAGTATATAAGACCATTATTATTGGACCGACTTCCACTTATGTTGTTATGCACTCACACATTCCCTCCCCTTGATCACTTTTACTTTAGAGTAAGATCTAGTCCAATTATACAAGTACCTTTACTCATCCTGGTTAGGATCATTCATTTTTATCTGAAATGGTAGATTAAGACCATTCCAGGCGCACTGTGGAACTGTCTCGCTACTACATCGGACCCCTACTACATGTAACATGCAGTACTATTTAACAGTACTATAATTAATAGTCTATTATTGTTTTTACTTGTTGTGCTGCGCGAACAATGCAACGTCCCGAATAATATCAAAACAAGAGGGCTTTTCTTTGTGAACCTACCTTTATTTGACTTTTCAGCGTGAAATCATCTCATTTCAAAACATGGATCTATACCGGCAACATAAATAGCACACAGAGATAAGGAAATCGTGGCGCCCTGTTTACATCCTGTTTATATGATACATACGGAAGTCATAACTTCTCCGAGCACTTGCCTCGATTTGAGGAAGTTTTCTCATAGACTACCTAACTTCATTTTAGTCAGAAAATGATAAGATTTGCATTTCAATGATTGCATGCAGAATTTTTTATCAGTCACTGAAACGCAAAATCTGTGTTAAATAAAAGTTTTGTTTACTTATTGGATATCTTATTTCATACCGTTGAGCTGATGTATCGATGACAAGTGGATGTTCTTTTTTCGGTTATTTTGGCTGGGCTGTTGGTCTACAGTGCTCTATTTTTGGTTAATATACACTAACCCTTTGAGCTGAGAGATTAAATTTGCGCAGTTCTGTATCATCGGAATATTGCTTGTGAAGCAATACACTAATCAAACAAAGAATCGGCATCATATACAGATAACACGTAAGTACAAATGTGTCAATGCAAGCGGTCAGTCACAGTGAAAAAAAAAAACACCGAAAGTTGAATTCAAAAAGTATCAGTGATTAAACACTGGCAATTGTATAGCTCAAGTCTAAAAAATTTGAGACAGCAGCATTACTTAAACTTAGATTTAAGCCGAGTAAATAGGTTTCTATAATATTTGTAGCAAAAGACACTAGACACAGGAGGCCCGAGTCATTTTTCTGTCTCTAGCATTCTTGTTCACGATTTTAAACGTTGGTATATAAATAACAAAAAGTACATGTTAGCGTGATTGGTGCTGATTTTTGGACTACTACAGTTTAATTTAGTAACGATTACAATATATCTTTGGGGTTTCTCTTTACCCGTACTGGTACTGTACATGCTGTTGTATATAAAAGAAAACATTATTTTTTTAATCACTTTTACTTTTATCAATATTATTGTTGTTGTAAATTCATTTCTTTAGAATTTTTATTTGAATGCTATTTTATCATTATATTTTTCTTGAGTTTATAACTAACATTATTTTTAGGCAGAAGATGGGCTTACCAGGAAGAAAACGAAAAAATACACCAACAAAAATTTCATTAGAGAAAATAGAGAGGGATAAAGCTATAAATCCAGAAACTGGAAAAGCCTTCAAATTTGAACCAATCATACAGACTAGACATGCCAAGGCAGTCCAAGATGGAACAGCAGGTGTCTCTGAAACAGCTCCTAAGCCAAGGGCTGCCTCACCCGATATCACTCCTAAGAATATTCCACAGGCCAAAAAAGACAAGACCTGGCAATCCCAAGGCAGAGTTCCTGTTCCAGTAGATGCTGTTGCTTATTATGAAAAGAAATTTAATTGCACTGTCAGTTACAAAAGTGACAGTGGCAAAGCCAAGAATAGTAAAGACAATGTCAAGCATGTCAGTGCCAGGAATGCCAAGGCCACGAATGCCAAGGCCACTAAACCTGCACAAGTCTTCAAGTTTATTGTCCCAGATTTTGATGGCATTGTAAAGTCACCAGATAGCAATAGTGAGACAAGAAGCCCAGCTAAAAGTATGTATCTCTCTCTCTTTCTCTCTCTTCATATATATATATATATAAATATAAATATATAATGTCTGCTATAGGTAATGATAATAACTGTCATAGATGAAATCCAGTGTACACTAATGATAAAATTGCAAATACGAAGAATCCATGGAGGAAGGGTATGTTGTCTCCCCTCCTCCCCCCCCCCCCCC